CCGTTGATTTTGAAGGCTCCTTTTGGATCATTTTGGATCTGGGACGGCCTGGGCGCTCCTTGATATAACGCCTTTCAGGAAGAACACAACGGGACAACGGGACCAAGTCCAGGAGTTCGGCTCAGGCTGGACATCAATCATGTTCAACAGCAAGCACCTTAACTCAGGAAGCTGAGATCAACTCTTCATGCACGGTTTTTTCGGGGCAGAGCAGCCGAACCAGATGTTTTTGTTTTTGATTGTTTTTGTATGGTTTTTTTGTTTTTCTCGGGGGTGACAAAAAGAGGGGACCTGGCGACATTTGACCATCCTTCCATGCCAAAGCCTTAATGCCAAGTCTTAGTGGGCAAATGCCCTGCACAGCATACACACATCACAACCAGGTGGTTCGAGAGATCGCGTTTTTAGGGACACAAGAACTTTGAGCCACCACACTTCAGAAATCCTTCTCAAATTTTTGCTGCAGTCTGATATCTTTTTAAGGTGGAACGGGCCTTTTGTTCCATCCGTCTCGACCGGCCCTGTGGCATCATATTTGGCAGAGAGAGCTGACATGTTTGGATCTAAATTCCAAATGCTGTAGCATGAGCATTCAGAGGTTGATGCTCTTCTGCCGACTGTGTCTAATGACTCATGACTGACGTCAATGAGCCTGCTCCTGCTCCCGCTGCTTGCTCCCCAAAGGGAGGATGTTAGATTCGATTCCAGCTTTGGGCAACATGACATGGGTGTGCGTAACATCAGCACATGTTCATTGGTACTACGGCTTTTGTTGGGGGTGAACTGCCGAAGCTTTTTACGCGGGTCACCTGAGATTCCAAAAACTAGGATGGCCACAATGGCCAACGGTTAGTTGGAAAAGCTCCAATCCGATTGTTGGGGTTGTGAACGCTTGAGGCACAACTTCTGCTTGCTGATTTTGGTAGTCCCCACAGCGAATAACTTCCAGCCATGTACTGCGAAGCCCTGATTGTAGAGACTCTTAATGAATCTTAATTCATTATATACTATTATATAGCCATATATGGTGATTCGGTTGCTGCAGCAGATGATGAGCTTGTGCCCCTCCAAATTGCTGAATTTGTTGGGGTCTGAACATCTTTTGCATTGAAGCCCTTCCACCTTCCAATGATGTTTAGAGTTCCCAGAGCAGCACAGAAAGGTGGATATCGTTTGAGGCAGCGGGAGCTTGAAATGCGGATCGTGCTGTGAATTGTGGTTTTGGCATCACTTGCACTGCGGGAAAGCATCCGGCATTTGCAAGCAATTTTGTGTTTGGCAAGGCCCGAGACAGTACCTGTGAACAAGAACTCACCCCTTAAACAAAAAACATAAGCATATACATATATGCAATAATATATGGGACATGTTTGGGATCGTGATTTGTCAACATCTACCTGGAGAGCTCACCCAGTAGCTCACCCAAATTCCAGGAAGCTTGGTCCAGGAATTGCCCTCAGAAAGGCAACAAGAAAATGAGACAGAATTGTTTTTGTGGCTTTGTTCTTGCCAGGGCCGCGGAAATCAAAAGGAAACTCGTTTTTTTTAATTTTTCCAAACAAACAAAATCATCAACTGTAACTTTGGTTCTGATAAATGGGGAACTGCACCAGAGAGAGAGAGAGAGAGAGAGAGTCCAAGGTCAAGTTCTTTGAATTGATTCCTAGGAGTGGGCATGAGAATGTGTAAAGCTTGTGCTCCTGTTTTGAGATGTTTTGAGAAGGACATGTAAGGACACTCCCGCACCCACCAATTGAGCACCGTCACTTGGATGCCTCCCACCTCTGATTACCTGCCAGGCCGGGCGTGTCATTTTGCAAGAAAAGTCACTCCGCTCGGCGTTGTCCGGGAGGAACCCCAGCGGGGCACTCCGAAAAAGGGGGCCCAGCGAAGTGGGCCCCCCCAAACCCCAGGCACGTCAACCGCACCCTCGGGTGTTCCAGAAGAACTCCCTACACTGCCCTGCTTCAAGGGTTCATGAAGGTTCATGGTTCATGGCCATGGCTTTTTTTCAGACCAAACGGTTGCACATGTTGCACTAGATAATTGATAAGGACCGCTTTGAAGGCCGATCCTCACCTGGGGTGGCTTCACCCAGACACCCTCAGTGAGGGGTCACAGATTGCCCCCCGTTTGTTCCATGGGGGGCGACCAACCATGAAGACTGCGTCTTTGGCTCAAGTCTTCATGCAGTGTGGATCAGTGAGAAGGTCATGTAGATTGTGCGTGTACGGTGGGTTCCATTCATTGGCAAGTGTTGGCAAGGACCACTCATATCCACTCATACCGTGTGGTCATAATTCACTGAAGCTGTGGTGAAAATCTGCAAGGCTGGTGCGGAAAGACTCGATTGGCCACATGGCTTGCCCATGGCTTGCCCCTGAGGCCGTAGAATGGATCGCCGCGCAGCTGTGGAAGCTTTTGTTGTTTGGGATGGGACTTGATTACCAGACCAACCCCCCCAATTTGGATTGTAAGACATTGTTAAACCACGTAAAACCCCTTCATATGCGGCTCTTCTGTTTCCTACTGCGTATAACGAAGGGTTCTCATTCAACGGCCTGGGAGTCTGAGGCAATGTGATCGAGGGGTGTTCGCCTGACGCTGCTTTCGTGTTTGCGACCGTCTGCGAGTGACGGAATGTGATCAGTAAGATAAGGCTACTGTGCCGTTGGGGGAAGCTTTTGGAGGGAAGCTTGAAGTGTGCTTGAAGTGTCAGATTCGTGTGAAATGGCGTGCCAATGTGACATGCTCAAGTGTGAATCTTGATTTCCTGCGCAGGTGCAGGGTTTTGTGAGGTGACGACATAATGTGGATTGGCGTTGGCCAGTGTGGTCGTTTGGAGGTGTTCTGAGTTTCAGGCTGTTGCTTCAAAGCTGTGTCTTGTGGTTTTGTGAGGAGTTTCATCAAAAATTGCGAGTTTGGTTGATGTGAGTGGGCTCAGAACGTGTCGAAATGATTCCAAACCTGCGGCGTGGCGGCGTGGCGCAATTTTTGCTGAAGACAATGAAGACGCACGAAGATGTGAGGTCGCAACTTTTCGTTGCAGGCGCGGTGCTTTGTGCTTGTTGGAGGTGTCGAAGTTGAATTGTCGTGGCAGGTGCAGGGAATCATGAGATTGTGACGTTCATATCGCTGTGCCATTGGGATTGGCGTGTCAGCGGTTGTGGGTTTGAGGGGCTGGGATTCGAAACTGCTTGGCAGGGCTGGGCAGCTCTGGTGAGACTGGCCGCTTCGCTTTCGGAGGAAGTTCTGTGCGAAACGTACGCTGAGCAACGGTGATATGTGACACGTGACTATTGGAGGAGGTCTCCTTGGAACTGCTCGTTTTGGAGACTTGACGCGTGACTTTTAGAGGAAGTCTCGTACGAAACCTGAAACGCTCACGCGTGACTTTTGGAGGAAGTTTCGTACGAAGCGCCTGACTTGTGGAGGACATCTTGTATGACATGGTCGTTGCGGAGACTTGACGCGCGACTTCTGGAGTCTTGTACCTTTACGTAACGCTTAACGCGGTTATGGAGCCAACAGTGGCGCCAGCAGGACGATTGGTGGCATATCAGGTCACATGGTTGCATTCCGTCTGTGGTGCACGGCGCGTTATACGTCCGAAATCGTCCAATGTCGCTGTGCCGCCGCTAAACGCGGCCTCAGTGGCAAGTGCGCTTGCATAGTTCCGTGCGATTTGGGAATGCGAAACATGCGTGTGTGAACGGGGTGCGCCACAGGTGAGCAGTATGGTTGGAGGTGTCTAACAAGGCGCAGTGCCAACTTGGTCACAAAAGCGTCTCCCGCAAGATCATCCCAGGAGAGTGTCCCAAGAGTGTCCCCGAGTGTTTTACACGAGTGTCCCACAAGAGTGTCCTAACAAGCGTGTGCCATAAGAGTGTCTCCGAAGAGTGTCAAACAACGTTTGGCCATGTTTGGCCGTTTCGAGCGCTTTTGTGCATACGGGTTCGTTTGCAAGGTTCTTTTCTATGTTCGGTGCGTGGAAGGAATTGTTATGAGTTGCCCTGTTCACTTGGACATTCAAGAGGGCATTTGGAGAGTCTTGCTTGTCCATCGTACCTATTCAGGCCTACTTCGTTCCATAAGCCCTGCATGACGCGGGACTGGACGGTTTTAGTTCAATCGGTGGTTTGTTTAACATTGTGCCGTTTTGTGCTTGTGGTTTCGGGCGAGGGTTCAGAAGGCGACTTGCATCCCATGTTTGAAGGATGGTGGGGGCTTACAGAGGAAATGTTTTGAACACTTTTTGTCCCCGGAACTGTGCACTGACCACCGCGAGCGCATGCGTTCACTAGATTACTGTATACACTGTATATATATATACACAAGTCTGCAGCGTTGAGCTCAAACAAGTGGATGCCGCATGAATCACACCTACACACTGCGCACACACACACACATATATATATATATAATATTCATCAATATTCGGTGGACGAAGAACTCCCGCGCCAGTGTGAAGGAACAACATTTGGACCTCGACAAAGTGCAGCATGAGAGTGGTGCAAGGTTGCTTCAAAACTATACGACTACTGTATACAGTATTCATGAGCCGTGGATGGTGTCCAAAATGACCTGGCTCAGCCATCGCGAATCATGGGACTTGGGATGTGGAAGGCCAGATTCCGGAACAATTGGAGGTACATGCTCATGATTCGACGAGAACGGCAAGGGAGCGCTATTTTCATATCGTTTGTGAATGCATCACTGGTCCCCATCAGCGCATAAGTTCGGTCACGACCATTATTTCATGGTCACATGTTTTTGGCACGAAGAACCGGAAATGCAAATTCTCTGGAGACTCTAGCGAAGAATTCTCACTCGTCGTCCCAGGGGCAATCCCCACAGAGCAGTGTGAACCATGAGAGCCCCCCAAAGACTCCCCCAACAGGACGGACAACAAAAATGAATCGATTAATCATTACTCCTTTGATCTCCTTTGTCTAGGCAGGACTCTTTATTTTATCCAACACACACACCGACTATGATACAACCTTCCACGAAAGGAACCCGACCAAACCGGCGAGCCATGGTACGGTCTTGTCTTTTGCTGCCCTGGATCCTTCCGAATCTTGCTCGAGGCGGCGGGTGCGGCGGAATTGGGGGAAGGTGTGGGGGACACAAATTCAGAGAAACGCAGCTCGACGGAATTCGGAACGTAAGTCTAGCGTAATGGATTCCAGTCTCCATTACGTGAAGGAGCTACAATTCCAGGCTCCCAAAAGGAAGTCAGGCATTCAGCCATCCAAATTCTTTTTGAGAAGCTCCATGGCCTGAGACTGCTGAGCTATTGAGCTGCTCTTCTCGACAGCCCAGGGCTGTCGATCCTGCGGCTTACTCCATGGTTTTTACATTGTTTTTTTTGTTTTCTCCCTCGGACGTTGAGAACAAGGGGGCGGGCTAGTTTGCTGCTTGGAAGGGGCCAAACTCCAAACTGGCCCTCTGAAGAGGGCCGGCGCCGAGGTTCTCAGACCTTGGAATGGCTCTTCGACATGGGTGGTGGTCAGCAGGTCTTCCCCCTCATGGACTTCGTGGCCTCCGAGTCCCAGGTGCGGTGTGGGATGATTTGAGGGAGATGGGGGCCTCTGCAAAGAGACAATCTTTTCGTGTCCAAAGGGAAGTTGGTTTCGTGATGTTTCATGAGAGATGATGATGATTGTGGATGTTCCAGGTTCCCTCATGCCTTTATCTAGGTCAACCAATGATCATTAAACTGAACCAAGAAGCTGCTTGTCCATCGTGAGCAAAGGTGTAGAATTGTATGAAGGAGGACCCCTGGATACCCACACCTTACATATTCTACAGCTTCCGCAATTTGGTCGACAAGGACTCGGTTTATTTTGTTGAAGCCCTAAATCAAAGCCACTACCGTATCGCCCTCGGTTGACCATAAGTGGATGGGTTTCAGGGTTGAATTCTGTCCCATTCTTTGGTCCCTGTATGTCTGTCTGGAAGAATGCAAGGCCAACGATTGGATGCACGACACCGCCAGCATCAAAGCAAAGACATATTATATACATCGAAAGCGTATCCGACTGCATCTTCAAGAACTCATATGATTAAATGTCGGGGTCACTTCTCATATTAACACGTCTTGTATCGTCTTGTGATCTGTTTTCTTTTTTCAACGTGCATTTTACCGTTGTACGTTTTCAGTGTCTGCAGTTTGAGTGTCCCCCGACTGCCCCATCCTCCGAAACGACTTGGCAGGAGATTGATGCCTTCCTGGAGCAACAGCGACAGCGTCGGCTTGATGGATTTGTCGATTTGAGTCGTGTGTATGAATTGGTTTCTTTCCTGATCTTTCAAGCATGGCGTCTACAGCCTAGCCCACTCTTGGATAGGCGCCCGATAGGCCACCAGTTCAGGTCTGCACTCTGGACTTGTCCCGATTGCTTTCCACATCTTCCCACCACAATCACCACAACTCCAATCAGACCTCAGCAGTCCAATCATAAGTAACCAAGATCTCAATTCATCCACGTTATTCATCCACGTGCCTTCACTTTCCACGGTGGCCTGGTCGGTAGGTCCATCCATCCGTGCACCGATAGACGCCAGGCCTCGTGATGCCGGGATCCAGCCTGACGCAGATCCACGACGAAGCGGCCCACGTGCGCCGCTCGGTCGAAGGAAGCGGCGAGGACGGAGGAGCGGCGAGCGGAAAGCCTTCATAGATCTTGGCTGCAGGAGGAAAAGCCGTCGGATTATGGCCTTAAGCATCCTTAAGCCATATATATAGAGACGCCTTGATGTGATTCTGGAAATCTCTGGGAGATATATAAATGCGCATGGATTCGATAAAAGGCTGATAAAAGGCACTGAACGTGTGATTCCATTGAGGGCATCAGAGCGCCGCAGCGAATGAAGTGGCACTGGCAGATTGGCTTCTGCAGATTCATTGGAGCAGCTTACTGGACAGTGCCACTCGGCAAAGCTGGGCACGTCGGCTTGGTTTTCGAAGAGCCACCAATAGGTGGTCTCAGGTGGGTCTATCGCAACGTTGCCAGACTCATCGGCCAAATTGGCCTCCCTGCCATGGGAACAACCAATCCGTCATGAACACTGCTCTGGTGCTGTGCTGGAACCCCTCCCCTCCAGTCCATTCTTCACCGCCTCCGCGAGACTTCGAGGACTTGGGTCGAGGCATCCTGGCAGAGCTTTCGGCCGTCACGCCGCAGGTGGGGACGCAGACGGGAGCGTTGCTTCACGCGAAGCTGTTGCTGTTCAGCTGGGGCCCACCAAAGAGCAAAGAGACGGATGTTTTGGACCGCTGGGGGCCATGGGGCATCTGGTTGGAGATGTAAGCGACGGAAACCACGAATACATCATGAAAAATACAACTATAGTATACTATAGCGATGGCCTCCACCTAGTAGCTTCTTGCTGCTTCACGCTGCGATGCTCCGTTGTGCTGTTCTTGATTTGTCACCTGTAAGCACGCAGCCAGTCACGCATCTCACACACGCACGATGGTTTGAACCGAAACCGTGATTCCCCACAAAACCAGGTGCGGCCAGATGTTTTGGGGGGTCTGTGCCGGTCTGCCATCGGATATTGTTCAGCTGTTCAATCTCCAGCTGTAGGCATTGCCTTGAGGGATGGCTCCGGAGAATTCAATAACAAAACTGCACTGGTGAAGGATTGAAGGCAAATGACTACAACCTGTGGAACCCTAACCCGTTTTTTTGGGGGACCCATCTGTTGGCAGCATTTCATGGGAGTGCCCTAAGGAACTTCAGTTGGGGGACAGCTGCAACGGGTGGTGAACATGACATTTGACAGCTCACACCTTAAATCTTATTCAGTGTGGATCACAACCATCCGAAGCCATGTGGGCTTATGTAGGCTTATACGGTAATTTATAATTGGCACAAGACTTGAACAAAAAACCGTACCAACCTGGAGGACTCTCCGCTCATTTGTGCCACTTGGCACATCCCATCCACTCATCCCATCTCATCCCCTCGTCTCGCAGATCGAGTCGTCTCCCTGCGATGCCGCCTCCTACGACGTGGACGATGTGTTCCTGGAGCGCCTGGAACGATCCCTCCAGGGCATTGAGACGCTGCCCTTGGAGCAGAACGATGCTCGGCCGCGTTCCACCAACCATGCCGGCGGGGGGGGCCTTAGCTTGGACGAAGAGTTTGAAAGAGACTTTTGATGAATTACAACCACCCAGATAAAGAGGTGTTACAATCCAAATGGGGAGGTTTGAGTAGTCAAGAGTCTACATTACAGAGGGATTCTGATTCGATCAGCAATTGTTTGAGAGAGGGTAGGTTATGCGAATCGTCCTTTGGAACATGCTGTCAGCCAAGCTGGTGCTGCTCCGTCCAGCGGTTCGCAGGTGACGACATGGTCAAAAACGGAGGTCGTGAAACTGGGATCTCATGATCCCATGGTTCGACAGGTTTCTCCACATCCCCCAGTTGCTCTTGGAACGTTTGCACGACGCCCCGGACCGTGCGGCGCTTCCGCACCATGTGCCTCGTCCGGACCGCGATGCGGATGGAAAGAGTCCGTCGGAATCGAAGCCGATCCGCCAATCCACTGCCTGCAGCCGATCTGCACAAGGATCCTCACAGCAAGAGTGCGTAACTACAGTATACATGGTATAGGCATAGTTCCTTCAAGTGACTTCCTTCCAGGTGTTCCAATTCCAGGTGTTCCAATCCACTCACGACTTCGGGCATGTGTTGTTTGAAGTTTTCCCATCTCTAGCAGGCCACCATTCCAAGCATCCACCCGCAGGTTCGCCCAAACCCAGCCACACCAACCTTGCAACAATCGCTCAGCGGCTCAGGAGTTCAAGTGGGCGGATTTCTTCGGGCGCAAGATCACCCAACAACCGCTCTGCCTGGTGGGCGTGGCCACGCTGCGTCCTGGCTACTCTTTTTTATCGCGGGGGGGCGGGGGGGGCCTTGATTCATGTCGCAGTGTAATTCATGAAGAGCCTAGAAGACACAACAAAGAAAAACACAGATTCAGTGTAGTGTATTGTTTTAAGTGCATTTGTCCTTGAATGTTCCATTCTTTGCCTGGCACTGCGGTTGCTGGCCAAATGTGACGACATGTCAAGACTTGTGTGTGTGTGTGTGTGGCTCCAACCCCCATGCGCATGTAGTTTTGGACCCTATAGTCATTCACGGCCCAAAAGTGAAGATTCAAGATTCATGGGTGATTCCTTCCCAGTTCAGCAGTTCCAAGAATTCTCGCTGTCTAAGATCCTGAAGGAGAAAAACCAAACCTTCTTCCCTGTGGCCGCAGACCTCGCAGACCTCCGAGGACCGGGTTGCGATGCTATCCAAACTGCCCATGGATATCTGGGGCAAAAATTGAGGGTCAAGTGATCAAGTGGTTTCAACGAGAGATATTGCAGTATACAATGGTAAAACTAATGGTCAAAACATCAGCAACCTCAACATCAAAAGAACCGAAGTCCTCCCTGATACCCTGGATGGACAGCTTTCAAGACCCTTTGGAACCAATACTGAATCAAGCATGCCTACCCAGCCTGAAGTAAATATATGGTTGTTTTATATATATATATATGAATATGTATCGGAGTTCCGCATCCAGCTGTACTGTGACAAATGCGCCAGGAGTTTCCACTTTTCACCAATTTGTGCGGGGGATGAAGGGACGATGCTGCCCATCCAACTGTACAATTGGAGGGAAGGGCCGTGTTGCGCTAGCAACCTCAACACACCACTCGCACTCACAGAATGTCCCAGATTGTGTTCGCAACTAGGATCCCAATCCTTTTTACTTGATGGCTTCCCACAGCCTGCTCAATTGTGCAGGGGAGTGGGTGCGGCACCTCCCCGAAAACAAGGTCCTGCCGTCCAGCCGATGTGCTACTCCAGGTTTTTGGTCGCTGCCGACATCACCGCCTTTGCCTCCGCGGCGGAGGGCGGTGAGCACCAGATGCGCCTCGAGCGCGCACTGCTCTTCGCGCATCTTCGGCCGCTTTTGAGTCAGGGGTGTGTGTGAGTGTGAAGATGTTGAACGGCTTCCACCTGGAGTCGGACCCTTATCGATCCTTAAGACATGTGGGGAACTCTCCCATTTGCGATGCCGACGCCTTGTCAATGTGCAGCTTGCAGATCAGAGCTTGGTGTCCGCCGCGCAGACCGGCATCGCACAGACCTAGGCAGAGCCTGGTGCGTCAGCATGTGGAGGAAGCACCGCCGGGGCAGATTGATCGGCATCGCCGGGATTTGTTCAGGAGCCGATGTCCACAGCCTGGTGAGTGGTTTCAGAGTAGCTGGCCATAGCTGGCCCACTGGCCCAATGTCGGTGGTTTAGATGGACGCCCATCTGTCTAGGACATCTTGGGGTCTGTGCCATCTACTCTGAAAATCGCATCAAATCGCCATGATTTGGTGCACGGATGTGCACGGTGTTCGTTGTCGTCCGAACCGTTCGGAGCTGGGAGGTCGAGGAGCTTGGGTGGTGTTCACACAGTGGGTCGGATTTCTGGAGGTTTGGGCAGGATCTTCCATCTCATGGTGACCTGAACCCCCACATGACCACTGAAATGTCCGAATCAATTGACGTTCGATGTAGTATAGTATAGTGAGCTCTCACGAAAAGTCAAAGATATTCGTTCATTTTCGGTTGTGGCATGGAGACTCAACGCCTGACACCCCCACACCATATTAGGCTATCCCACATAATCCCACATAGAAGTCTTCAACTTGCGAGGGTGTTGAAGGTGTTCCACCAGGTGGTGTGATACATAGCACCGCATTTCAAGCTCCAAAGCTCAAATTCTCACGCCACTCCGAAAAGATCAGAGATTTTCGTAGATCATATGTGAGGGGTGTCGATGGTGTTTTCAATGTTTCTGAAGTCGCTTCAATGATAGGTCTCGGAATCATGTGTCATGTGTCCATGATCGTGGACTGCTCTTCAATGCCAACAAGTACTGTAATCAGCTAAAACTAATTCAACCCCTTTGTCTTCAAGCCATGGCAGTCAAAGTTTCAGCGCTCCAGCCAAATGGTGACATTTTGGTTCTTGAAGTCATGCCAGGGATAACAGGCTTCGAGCTTAAGCAGCAGATCAAGGAGAAAAAACCTTGGGACGAGCTCACTCGGAGCACTACAGCTGTGGAGATCATTGTCGGAGACAACCAGTTGCTAGCCAATGATGCAAATGTATTGGATGCTGGAATAACTGGAGATTCTGTTGTGAGTGTTGTTTTCAATCCTAATGTAGTGATATGCGGCAACCAAGATGTAATCACCAGTCTTGGTGGCATCGTTGACTCTGATCTTTTGCTTGCCTTCGTAATTCCAAACGATGAAGCACAAATTCATGCTTCGGCATTTGCGGGGTGCCGCACATTGGCCAAGTTGACCATCCCAGATTCAGTGACCCACATTGGAGATTGTGCCTTTGATGCTTGCAGCTCGTTGGTGAACTTGACCATCCCGAAGTTTTGCCACCCACATTGGGAATGATGCCTTTGCTGGTTGCAGCTCTTTGGGGAACTTGTCCATGCCAGATTCAGTGAGCCACATTGGAGATCATGCCTTTGATGGTTGCAGATCTTTGACGAGCTTGATCATCCCGGAATCCCAGACTCCGTTACCCACATTGGCAATTTTGCCTTTCAGAATTGCATCTCCTTGGCCAACTTGACCATCCCGAATTCAGTGACCCACATTGGGCATGATGCTTTCGTCAATTGCAGCTCTTTAGCGACCTTGAATATTCCGGACTCTGTGAACCACATTGGCTCTTTTGCCTTTCAAGACTGCACCTCTTTAGAGAATTTGAACATTCCGAACTCTGTGACCCACATTGGGAATGGTGCTTTTAAGAATTGCAGCGCTTTGGTAAGCTTGACCATCCCAGACTCGGTCACCCACATTGGAAGAGGTGCCTTTAAGAATTGCAGCGCTTTGGCGAACTTGACCATCCCGAACTCAGTGACTCACATTCAAAATTCTGCCTTCGCAGGTTGCATCAATTTAGTGAAGTGGGCCATCCCAAATTCTGTGACCTATATATATTGGTGACAACGCCTTTAAGAATTGCAGATCTTGGCGAAATTGACCATCCCAGACTCGGTGACCCACCTTGGATCTTATGCCTTCTGGAATCGCAGTTCTCTATTTCAAGTGCTTTGAAATTGCTGCTCTTTGGTGAGTTTGACCATCCCAAATTCAGTGACTCAAATTGAGGAAGGTGCCTTTGACAATAGCATCTCGCTAGTGGGCTTGGTCATCCCAGAGTCACTGACACAAATCGAGGAAGGTGATGCCGTTGAGAATTGTGCTTCGAAAAGGCGAGCTTGACCATCCCGAAGTCAGTCCACATTGAGCTTTTTGCCATCGTTTGAGTTGCTCAAATTGCAGTGTATGTGATCGTGATCTCACTGTTCTGTAGTTGTGCGGCTAGATAGGATACGATTTGATGTGATGAAATTGCTGAAGCAACCGTCATTGTGCAAAAACCAATCCAGTATAAACTACCATGTGAGACTAGTGCCAACAACCTTGACCAGGGTGTAGCAAGTGGTGTGCTTGACATCTGAAGTAGATACTGTGCCTCTTCTAGTTTCAGTGGCCTGGACAATGCCCATGGGGAGTGCCTAGTTAAAGGCAAGGCAGTAGCTGGCCGTCAATCAGACAGGGACGCATGTACAATTCCAATGACATCGGGCAACAGCAGGTGACATGTGGACCACGGGGGTCCTTGGCTGGTCCGTCCTTAACGGGGTGCCCAGCGGTGGCAAGTTAGGCCAGCGTCTCGGTTGACCGCCGCAGGAGCTGCTGGCCAATTTGGAGACTGATGAGACTCGACAAGTGGGTTGGGAGCTGGGAAGTGGGTTGGGTTCAAGTGGAAGTGGTTGGGGCGGGTGGGGTCAGGTGTGGAATGATCCATTGAGGCCAGGGACAGCTGTTTAAGATCGTTCAGGTATGTTGAGTGCTACTTGGTTTACTTGGCATTGCTGTGCAGAAACATGGAAGCACTCCAGACTCAGGGTTCTTTGGTTGTGTTCAGACGAAACGATGAGGTATATGTCCATTATTCTTCCGCATGAATCCGGGCCAGTCGTTGGGCGGTTTTGCATATGTTCATCAAACGGGCCGCGAGAAAAACACCGGGCCCCTTGTTCCGGATGTTCCAGATAAGGCCGCCCCAAGAGAGCCAACCTCCGTATTTCTTGAAAGGGTTCTTAACATGTCTTGGCTAAGAGTCTTAAGAAATCATTGCAAATCATAGGCGAGTGTTTTGACATAGGTTAACATGTCTTTTACTTCTAGTTCTAGGAGCCAAGCTTCGCAATTTTCCCAGCTAAGACAGGAGCCAACCACGCTCAGGAGAAGTATTCAGAAGGAGCTCGATGCCGGCCATGAGTTCCGTGCTCCCCAGAATGCTGCGCTGGATACTCCCCAACAAGAGACAGAGGCTGGGGTGGGCCGGCTGCATGCACACCTGCAACATGTAGAGAAAGAATGGATCTGCTGGAAAGTTTTACAGCACATTGTTTTTATCATGTTTTCTCTAATCAAGACCCACTCTAAGGGTTCATAGATTAACTGTCCTTTAGCAGGACTGAAAAGAGCGCTGAGACCTTAATTAATCGCCACCGCGTTGTGTGTATCTGTGTGTGGCTTTGGGCTTCTCACTCCGCCATGTTTTGAACTACTCTCCTGCCCTGCATGTATTCCAGGACTTGCTCTACTTGACGGTGATCGTGCAGTGCCGGAATGACGACTATGGTGGAAACATGTTGTTGCGGTTAAACCGCATGCTGGCGACCACGACGCGGATGTTGCACACCACCCAGGTCCCGTCTGAGATCATTGTCGTCGATGCTCAGAGGCAGGTGAAGCGGGACCTGGGAGCGGGGCGAGGTGGACACAGTTGGAAGCTAGTTTGGACCTGTTTGCCGGTTGTTCAATTGTTCATCACATCTTGTGATGCGCTTTCAATCCCAGGGTCAAAGTGAGGTGGCAGCCGCATATCCAACAAATTGCTTCACTTCGAGTACTCTCCATCTAGCGCTCTCTCTCTCTATATATATGTATATATATTTTTTTAAAGGTAAACAGTAATACTACATATGATTATATATGTGTAGCGTTTATTCATTGATGTTAATTCCAGAAGGTTTGGAGGTCCCTTCACTTTAAGGTTTGACACAGCATTTGTGAATTCTTTCAACCCTGAGGTGCACATTCACCTTGAAGTACCTGTAAAGTCAGCATCCTTTTTGACCCATCACCACACCTGCCGATGTTTTGGCATGTTTGAGGGAAGATCACCGAGCCTGGAACATGTTGCATGATATAGACATATGATATCACGTCTGACGCCGGCCTCTGACGCCAATCACGGCCGGCCTCTGACGCCGATGGTTCATCTTGGCCGATCAAACCATGACACCGTTCCTTCCTACTCACCAGCTGGCTGTTGCTCGTTTTTTTCTTTCTCGGATTTGAGGAATGGAATCCGGTCTTCAACGCTGCGGCGATTCACGAGGCCGGCGCTTGCAAGAGCCACAACTTGGCTACGCACGTGTAGCGTGTATTGCAGACGTTTGCCCAAGCTCATTTTGCACTCATGAATTTGCGAATCACCTCAGCTCATGCAAAGGCAGCTCTCCAAATCAGGACCAGAAGCCACTTCCAGGGGTGAACAGAAGATGACTTGGCTGGACCCGTTCACATCTTCAAGAAGAGCAGCGGCTATGTTGTCAGACATGTTTCATTGTTCTCTCGCTTCAGGAGATTCAGCGGGAAGCTGGCGCGGAGAGCGTGCCCATCCGTGTGATTCAAGTGCCGACCTCCGTGCACATGTCCATGCCGCATCACAAGGCCAGGGTGGATGTGTAGATCACATGAGACCCGCCAGACCAACGCACACAGCTGCACATCCCAATGCTAGGTGGCGTTCTCGGATATTTTTATGTTCGACCTTTACTTGGGATGATTGAACCCACACGGACTATATAAAGTATTTTGCAAGTGAGGTGAGCCCACCAACCAGAATCAGTCATCCAAACGTTTGGACTGAGTCATCGGTTGCTGGAGTCGTTGAAAGCGACAGCAACCGATGACCCATTTGGATTATATAAGTGGAAGATGTTGGAGCTGGTCTGAGAACGCCCACTGAGACACATCAGGCCCATCCCATTTTCGAGCACACGGCGGAGAACGTGGCATTCCGAAGGGCTAGAGGGAAGTTCATTTTGAAGACCAACATTGACAACATCCTAAGCCCAGATACGGTCGCCTGGCAGTATGATGTGTGCTTTGCCTCATGGGGGGGCATCAATGCCACAGTCCCCACACGGGTTTTTGCCGGGGGAGAGCGGCGGCAACCCTTCCTACCATGTTTGAGGCTACTGATACCGTTGAAGATCTATGAAGGAAAAATGAGGAAGAAGACTTAGCCGGACGAATGACAGGGGCTAGGGCGGCTAGGGCAAGTTACCGCACGCAGTGATTGAAAGAGCGGATGCAAACCATTCAACCGAAGGAAGATGGAGTTGAACCAACCACAGCAATGAGCACAACGCTTGGAAAGCCAGCTAGCATGCAAGCGTGAAATCACAACAATTATACGTTTATAAGCTCAATTTTTTTGGGAAAGAAAGTTACATCGCAGCACCCAGATTGCAGCGCTGCCGTCCAGTGGCCTACGTTTGCCTCTTGAAGTCACGCCAGAGATGACAGGCCGTGAGCTGAAGAGCAGATCACGAGGCACAGCCTTGGAACGAGCTTACTTATAGGATGACTGGCGTGGAGATGTGGTTCCAGATTTCTGACCAACGATGCAAAGGTTTGGACGCATGGCTTGCCGCTGTACTGAGTGCAAAATGCTGTGTAAGCAAATGTGTTGAAATGTCATGGCGCAGGTGTTGCCGTGAGATCAGAATGTAGATCCTCACCCCGTTGTTTATTCAAAACATTGCTGCACGCATGTTTGGGTTTCCCACCTGCTCAGAAAACTCAATTCCAAGGTACGAAGCATGTTTATAGATTGTTGATCATGTTTGAATGTCCCTCTCACTGGGCCGCAGGGTGCATTTACACGGCCGGGCTGCCGAAACTGTCCTGTGGAAGGACTGAGGTGAAAAGTTCGAAAAGAGTATCATGCCATGCTTGCAAACCTTGGCATCACTGGCCAGAAATCCTGTTGAGGGTGTTATGTTCGTCCAGGGACTGTCAGATGCGTTGACCAAGATCTGCTTGTCAGCAGTGACATTGATTGCGACTTCGCTCAAGACTAGTGACTATAGTCAGGAACGCTGGCTTTGATGTCTGGAGCCACGGAACGCTCACCAATGCCACACAAAACAATCTTGAACTGTTTGCTAGTCTGTTTGCTATCATGTTCCACTGGCCCGCTTTGAACTGCAGCTTTTGGAAGGGCTTCACCGCCCCAGACCGCTGACAATGGAGGCCCCTGTGCACAAGCAACGGGAGAGGCTCTGACCGACACGCTTGGCTAACATTAAAGGTTTAAACCCAACCTTTGAAATCCGATTTGCCTCGAGTTCACGAAAGCTAGCACCAGCTAGCTGGAGTTGTCCTTGCTTTAGCAAGTGAGGGGCTGGAATCCTCGAGATCGCCGCATCACGTGAAAACTTCATATGTAGAGGGCCCCCCCCCCGCGGGTTCAACTCCCCCCTGGGACGCCTCTGGGACACCTCTTGGACACCTCTTATGGCATCCACTTTGGTTCAACTCCTCCGTGGAGGTTTTGGGATACGATGCAACAGATTCAACAGATTCACAAGCTAAGGTTGGCTGTGTCATTGCTGTTCGTGTGTCTTACATGTTCACAACGTTTTACCTCATGAGCGAGACCTTGTGAACCATCCCTCCAACAGCCCCATGCCTATGAAAAAAGATTTGCCTCACTCCGCTTGATGTCCCACCAGTCCTTTGTCACTGGACGGCGCTGTATGCTTCGCCTCCACTGACACGGATGCATCCCTGCTAGCTTTCGTCCCCTACCCTCGGCCTCAAGTGAGAATCTTCCGAAACCGCGGCACGCTCCAAAACACGACGACCACTCCAAATTGACCATTGAAAATCATCAAAACCACTACGACCCATATGGGGAATCACGTCCTTGAGATATTGGCTCTTTGGCAACTTTGATGTTGTTGATCACTTCACAATGGTTTCCCACCGTGTGTTTGAACAAGCTTTGGAGAAATGCGACTTGTTTGGAGGATGACTGGCCCAAGTTCAACGGCAAAATGGGTGCATCATGGTGCGTCTTAGACTAGGAGGACCTGAATGATACGGCCAAAATGTTTTAAACACTTGCCATTGCCGACAAGCCCAACCCTTTGAATTGGGCTGCTCGACCTTCCGGACCCACACAGTTTTCGGGTATGGTTGGAACAGGGCAGGGGGAGTGGCAGGGGGGCGTTCATGAAGTTGAAGTGTCACTTTGATTTTTATTCGATGTTTATTTCTTCTCTGGGTTCAATGCTGGGAAGGTGCCAAAACTGTTGAAACTATGAGAGACAGCTTTTCTAAAGTCACCAAGCGCGCCTTCTTTGGAGCGATGGCCGAGATACTCTTTATTGCTCGGCAGCAGCTGGATCCGAACGTGGTCTACCGAGCAACGCAGCTTGGGAGAGCAGAGCGCAGAGCCCCCAGCGGCCTGAGATGGCCCGAGCGGCCCGTTGGGGCAGAGGGTTTCTGATGAAAAGTCTTAAGATCTCATGAGAGCTGAAAGCAATGAAAGCAACGGACGATCCTTAGCTCAGCACTGTAGAGGAAGATCCCGTCCAAGAGGTTGATACGATCTGAAAACCTGAATCGATCCATTCTTGAGCTACTCGACGGGGTGGGCAGTGGAGTTTGGACTCAGGTACATGGAATACGATGTGACCTGTCCAGAAGCGGAAGGTGGGGGAGCTCATAAATTTCCAGCGAGTTTTGTTGAAAAAGAATCATGCAGGTTTGAAGGCGGATGAGCTCGTCGAGTGGCTCTTCTCAAGAGAGGAGATGATCTCTGGGATGAATATGGAGATGGCCGACCTCCGCTTGAAATATCCCGTTGCTGAGCGGAAGAGCAGAGAGTCGGGGTGCAGCATTCAGAACGGACGGTTTCAGAGCCGTGATTTGCATCCGATGTTTCGTGTGTTCCTTTAGGCCCCGCGGCTCCAGGTTTGGAGCCTCCGACATCCCGAAACCCGTGCCTTTTTCGTGTGCGTTGGACATCGTTCGCCTCACCGCGACATCGATGGTCTTCGCTGCGAAACGTGCCATTTCGGAGCGTCCACGGTGCGATGTCTCAGGAAGATGCTTTGGTGTGCACTGAGGGGCGCTTCGTGCCGGATGCGCCACAAAGGCCGGCCACGGCCATAGGATGGTGCATCGAATCACAGGTAGGACAGGAGAGCACACAAGGAGCCTTCAATTTGGAAGATCTAGGTGCATGTATATCGGCACATGATGCAGAACTTGCCTGTGGCCAGGCCCTTTTATTGGGCGGGGAGTGGCGACTTTGTCCTGGCCAGCGCCACGGGCTTGTTTATTGCAGACATGGATGCGCAAGTATCGTTGGGAGGTGGTTCAGGGCGTTCACAGAGGGTACGCGCCACAACCTCAGAGGTTGTAACTTCTGGGAGTTAAGCATCCAAATCATTCAACAAGCTGTCAAGAAGCAAGAAGCAGTGACGTCCAGCACCTGCGGGTCTTCTTGTACATGTGGAACATCACATTGCCCCAAACAGTCTCCCCCCAAACTTCCCAGGTCTTGCTGTGTTTTGGACAATGATGGTCGGCCATGCGGCTCTCGCTCGTCATGCGGCCGAGAAGCGAAACGGATTCACCTGACTGGACAAAGACCCACTCCTTTTAGTCACTGGGTGGTTCCAAGGCCCTGAACTAAAACGAGATTCTGCACAGTGGATTCAGAGTATATAGATGGTACAATGCCCAAGAGGTGGTGTATGTGTATATGGGCCCCCATATAGAAGACATTTTGGGGTTGTGCCACCCACTCTGAAGCAGCAATAGATTCCCTCACTAGGCAGCTTGTTTAGTGTAGTCATAGGGGTTGACCTGCTTCGCCGGAGATCGTCCGCCCAGGCAAGCAAAAGATTATGGAGGTGCGCGGCTACCCTGAGGTGCAGCGTGGACCGAACCTCATGGGTTTAACGTTGGACATGTTCAGACTTGCAACTTGCGTTGCTTTGCAGAAGAGAGAGGGGAGGGGAGGGGATTGACACCCTCTTGAGCCCCAAAACATAGATCATCATAGATCCCTCCGTTCAGGGTCGGTCAGCTGAGCGAACATGAGGGAGCTCGATATTGGGCCTAGACGTGACGAGCCGACTAGCCCGTGTTTCTTGGTACAGCCTACTTAAGTGTCATGGTAAGTGTCATGGTATGTCATAGTCTCAGGTCCGGCCTCAAAGGAGTCCTCAAAGGATGAACGTCCTCAACTGTCAACCGGGTTGGGTGAAGGTTCGGTAAGTGAGGTTCTTGGCGGAACATGTTCCTAACCAAGTCCTGGAAGCACTTAGCTTCTTTGTTACTACTAGTAAGGCACTTGTTCCTAGAAGCGATGCACTTGTTCCTAGTAGCTTCTTTGTTATTACTAGGAAAGCACATATATAGTTCCCCACATCTCTGTGTGGGGTTCTAGTTTTGTTGGCTGGCATCCCGCCCGCATCCGCCGGTCCTTCCGTCCTCCTCGCCCCCTCCTCCGTCGCTCACTCACTCTCACTCACTCACTCACTCACTCACTCATTCTTCACATCACTCACTCACTCACTGACACAACACAAGATCTCACCACTCACTCACTCACTCACTCACTCACTCCCCTCACTCACTCACTCACTCACTCACACTCCCAGAGCCTGTCATCCAGAGACTGCAGAAGGGGCTGCGGCGCGCGTTGTCGCCGCTGGGCCCCCCTCTCTCTCTGCAGTGGCAGGCGCAGTACCCAGAGCCTCCAGAAGGGGCTG